CTGCCGACCTAGCAGTTCAAAAGCAAGAAACTGCAAGTAGATAAATACTGGGAAGTTAACGGCATTCTGTGTGCCTCAGCATTTAGTCATGCTGGCCTCATGACCACGGAAGCGTCTTCGGACAGTGCTGGCTCTTCAGCTTGGAAACGAAGATGAGCACCGCCCCCTAGTGTCGGATTCGACTGGCTTGCGAGCAAGGGAAACCTTTACCTTTACTAATGGAACATCAATCTGTTTTGGTGATACATGTGGAAAAGAAGTTAGAATTCCTAGTTCAGGCACTGGGTTGTTATCATTATAATTGTGTTGTTGAAAGATCTAATCGCCCCTTGCAATGTCATCAGATTTATAACAAATGTCATGACCCGGTTTTTCTTCAATGGGGACCCAAAGCTGCATTGTTCTCGTGTCCTACATTTATCTTCACAACAACCCTGTGAGGTTCTAAGACTGAAGCTAAAATGATCATTGACCAAGCCAGCACTGGAGCAAGACAAGACAGCACGCTGATGGTTCATACGATAATTGTCAGCCTGCAGGTTATTTTCTCCAATAGCCTAGCCTCTCTTCCTCTTCCCTTCCTCGCACCCAGCTCAGCCAGATAGGATTGCCAGCCTCCAGGCGGGGCCTGGGTTCAGGGTGTTCCAATTCCCTTCGGGGGGGGGTTTGGCACCGCAACTTTATTCCTCTATTCATTTAATTATTTAAACTGCTTGGCCCCCCCCTCCCCTGCAAGCAGGGCTCAGGGCGGCTTACAAAAAAAACAGAATACATAATCTAAAAAGTTAAAACCAATAATAAAACACAGCACAAAGACAATGAATGAAACGGGCTATTCCAAAATGGTGAGAAACTTTGACAAAAACTGCAACCTCCCATTGCCTCCTGAGGACAGGTGAGGAGGAAGCGGGAGGCCTAAGCGTGCCTGACGACTCGCTGTCCCGTTGCTGTCCTCAACCAAACGCCTAGCAGAGATCTCCCCACCCCCCTCATTTTCAAGTCAAGGTCTTGCGTCTTTCTCATTCCGATCCTGCTTGGCAACAGAATGTACTTAAGAGTAGTATAGTAGCCAACCTTTGTTAATATTATGAATAGAAGGGAGGAGAGTTAATAGTTCCCCATGATCTAACAAAGTAAAAGGGTGCTTTCCCCTCCCGCCACTCTTTGGTTCCTTCCCCCCCCCGCCACTCTTTACATGCATGGTAATGGAACATCGATGGGGCCGCGGTGGCTCAGAGGTTAAGATGCTGAGCTGCAGACTGGAAGACCCGAGTGCCGCATGACAGAATTATTTGGCAGAGAATTCGACACTTTAATGGTGGTCTGGGCCTGGGTGGGGCGATGGCACGCGTGCCCACAGAGAGGGCTCTGAGTGCCACCTCTGGCACCCGTGCCATAGGTTCGCCACCACTGGCATAGATGTTCTCTGGCAGAGAGTTCCACCAGGTGTGGGTCAGGGCCAAAAAAGTCCTGGCCCTGGTTGAGGACAGCTGGATCACTCTCCGGATGGAGACCACTGGGAGAGGATTGCTACCGGAGCGTAATGCTCTATTGGGGGCATACGGAGAGAGGCGGTCCCAAAGGTATGTGGGTCCCTGGCTGCTAAAGGCCTTAAAAGCCAGAACCGACACCTTGAACTTGATCCACTGCTCCACCGGAATCCAGTGCAGCTCATGCAGCACAGGGTGAATGTGTGCCATCCGAGGGGTCCCTCCCTGTAACGACCCGTGTGGCCGCATTCTGGACCAGTTGGAGCTTCCGGGTCACCCTCAAGGGAAGGCCCGCGCAGAGTGAGTTACAGTTGTCTATCCTGGAGGCGACCGTTGCGTGGATTACCGTGGCTAGGTCAGGACAGGACCGTGGCTAGGTCAGCCAGTTGCCGAATTTGGCGCAGTTAGAAAAACACCAGCCTGGCGGCCTTTAACCATCACTCTGGGGTTGGTGGCTGGTTTTCAAACATGTAGCATTATTTTCCGAGTTACGCCTGCCACAAACAGAGACCCTCAGCTTCCCTTGCAAACAGAATGGTGTGGTTGCAGTTTGTCTCGCCTGGGCCAGGGTTTCCCTGTGCCCTTCAATTTTGGCCTTGGAACTCCCACAATGATTCTGCAGCTGGTGGCCAGTTTTGAGTCTCCCAGCTTTATTCTCTGATGAGTTATGCCTGCCAGCGTGGTGTAATAGTTATTAAAGTGTTGGGCCTAGGATCTGGGAAACCAAGGTTCGAATCCCCACTCTGCTGTGGAAGCTGGCTGGGTGGCCTTTGGCCCCTCCCACCCTCTCAGTCCAACCTTCTACTCAGAGTTGTGAGCACAAAACGGAGGAGAGGAGAATGACGTAAGCGGCCTTGGGCCCCCATTTAGGGTTGCCAACCTCCAGGTGACACCTGGAGACTTTCCTGCTATTACAATTAATCTCCAGATGACCAAGATCATCTCCCCTGGGGAAAATAGCGGCTTTGAAGGGTGGACTCTATGGCATTATACCCTGATGAGGTTCCTCCTCTCACCAAACCCCGGCCTCCCCAGCCTCCGACCCCAAAATCTCCAGGTATTTCCCAACCCACAAGAGCATAAGAGAAGCCAATGTTGGATCAGGCCAATGGCCCATCCAGTCCAACACTCTGTGTCACACAGTGGCCAGAAATACCAGGTTCCATCAGGAGGTCCAGCAGTGGGGACGGGACACTAGAAGCCCTCCCACTGTTCCCCCCTCCCCCCAGGCACCAAGAAGACAGAGCATCCCTTGCCCCAGACTGAGAGTTCCTATCTAGACCTTGTGGCTAACAGCCACTGATGGACCTCTGCTCAATATGTTTATCCAATCCCCTCTTGAAGCCATCCATGCTTGTAGCTGCCACCACCCCCTGTGGCAGTGAGCTGGCAACTCTATTACCATTGGGGAGAGAGAAGCGGGATATAAATAAATAAAAGATGGACAGATAGGCCGATTCTTTTATTACTATACATTCATGGTAACAGCAGGCCAACTGATTAGTTATGATATTTCATAGAGACCATGGTCATATGTGGGGGGGGGGGAGTGGAATCTTTGCCCGGGGGGGCCCATGATGGCTCCTGGCCGCCCTGTTCCTACATGACCCCGTTTCCCACATCGCATTCCACACTTACATAAGAAAGCAAATCATAACACATGGTAAATACTCACTCTATAAAGATTCCCTTAAGTTGTGTACAGTGTTGCTAATCACAGCGACACACAGCTGCTGGGCATAAACAGAGTGTACATTCATTCACATTATCGCAAAGCAAACCTCCGCAAGGTACAGACCAAAAAAATAAAAATAAAAACCAGTCATTACAGGGTTAATCCCCACACCAACTTTACTTCCCGGTTTTAGCACAGTCGAGTCTCTTCCTCCTTTTGAGTCTGTGGCACCTGTCCCTCCCCCTTCCTCTTCCTTCCTCTTCTCCATCGCAGGGCCTGAATCACCCCTTCATGGATTCACAACCCAAAAAAAATATCAAAAATCACAGAAGTATTGCCTGAGAAGCGGCTCGTTCCGAAATAGGCACTTGATGGAGGCTCTGGGTGTGGCAGGCAAGGAAGGAGTGCGAGGAGAAGCCATGTAAGGGTCTCGTGGGATCTTAATTCTGGGCAGCAGGACGGAGCCTCTCCTCCTCTTGCTGCAGCGACGGAGACCCAACACAATCCGCAACACAACGAGCCCTGTGCCCAGCTGCCCAAGGGGATGTGTGAAAGCACCAGTATTTCTTTTATTTTACAAAATGTCCCGCCTTTCTGCCCTCATAAGGACAGCAGCTCAGCCAAGTGGGAGAAGAGCCTGAGTCTACAGATCCTGAGAAAAAACCCCTCCCCTCCTTGTAATCTAGGCTGCTGTGGATTTCTATCCCAGAAATTCCCTCTCCCCATGTGTCACAGCTGAAACCCTACTGTACACCCCCACCCTTCCCAACAGGTTGCTTCTCAAGAGGAGCCACAGGCAAAGCGCAAAGCATCCGAGGCACCCAAGGACAGTGCCCAAGCAGCAAAGGAGGCACTGCTGCAAAGGCAAGCCTGTGTTCTGTACAACACCGAGGCCTGACCGCTCTGGTGCAAAGTGCATTCTTGCTCCCCCGGCTTAGACAGAAGAACCACCCAAAGTATCCGTCGCCGGTCACACCGCCCACACAAAGGTCCATAATAGAAGTCCTTGCAAAAATATGAGGCGCGAAGGTTATGAACAGAGGTTGGTCAGGGTGGGTCCAGGATTACGGGAATAGTGAAGCAGGGGTGGCTGGTGCTGGATCAGTTGCTCCAGCTCGTAGATGGAGGGTGGGTGCAAGTTCTCGGAGGCTCTAGGGAGGTAAAGAGAAGCTGGGTAGACGCAATGCCCGTGTGACGGTCCGGGGCTGGCTCCTTCATGCCACAGTTCCTCTGCCCTGAAATGTTCTGTGATTGGTCATCTTCCAGTCTGTTTCCCATGAATCCACCCCTTTAAGAACATAAGAAGAGCCCTGCTGGATCAGACCAATGGTCCATCTAGTCCAGCATCCTGTCTCACCCAGTGGCCAACCAGCTCCTCTGGGCAGCCAATCAGCAGGGCACAGAGGCCAGGGCCTTCCCCTGATGGCTCTGGGATTCAGAGGTTCTGTGCTTCTGAATGTGGAAGTTCCCCAGAGTCACCACGGCTAGTAGCCAGCCACTGATAGGCCTCTCTGCCTCCTTGGCTCCCCCTCAAGTGGCACACTACCCAGCCCTACTACTGCAGGTTTCAAAGCTTCCCCACATCTCTCTCCCCCTGTGTTCCTCCTTCAATTTTTTAGCTCGTTTTGCGAGGTTAGCCGCATGGCCCCTCCTGCAACAACCCACCCGTGCCTGCTCCCATAACTGCCCATTGTGATTAACTATAAACATATCGCCCGTGTAAATAAGACCAGTGTCTGATTAGCTCTTGTGGCTCCCAGCTAAGAGACTCCAGGAAATGCGTATCTCCGGAAGTGCTGGGGGTTGCTAACTGACATATCTCACCATCTTCTCAAAACGGCAGTTCTCTGGCTTTGGAGGTCAGGGGAGGCCAGCCATGAATATTTAAGCCTCCAGAAAACATGCAGAGTAGATGAACGCTTGGCCGGAGCCCAAAGGCAAATCTACTACTGGCTACTGGCAGCGGCAGCTGAGGGAAGGGAATCTGCTCTGTCCTACCAGCTAGACCCCTTCAAAAACTCTTGCCACACTCACAGTGGATCCAGCGGCATGGGGAAATCCACGATTCCATGGAGGCTTATGTCAGGCAGACCGATATCCATTGCTGACTCCATTGGCTCAAGGGGTGAAGCGTTTCCTTGAGGCAGCCATTCGCTCTCGGGAGCAAGAGGCAAACTGGGCGGACAAAAAAGACTGAGTCAGAAGAGGCACCAAGAATAGGAAATTCTAGCTTAAGATCAACATCCGGCTGGGTAAGGGGATATAAAGGGGGTGAATAATGTAACAGACCATCGGAAAATTAATATTTTGTATTATTGTTCACTATAAACATTAATAAACTGTGAATTAAAAAAATAACCTGTAGAGGGCTGCGAGAAGGACAAAGCAAAGGTGACAGTCAAACATTTGCAAAAGGAACAAGAACCAGGGACGGAACCAGAAACGGACTGGGGGGCAAATGTGCAGAACTGGGGACGTTGCAAGAAACAGTACCACAGAAAGGCGCTAAGGACAAAATGCGGGCTGCCACTACTTCACTGAGAAATGGCAGGAAACCCAAATTCTGTTTCGGTTTACATTCAAGTCGTTTTGCTAACTGTCCAGAGTGCTGGAGAGTGGTAGCAGGTTTATTTCTTAGCAAGCCACTGGGTAAGGATCAAGAAGAAGAGGAGACTGGATTTATACCCCGCCCTTCACTACCCAAAGGAGTCTCAGAGCAGTTTACAATCTCCTTTCCCTTCCCCTCCCCACAACAGACACCCTGTGAGGTAGGTGGGGCTGAGAGAGCTCTCCTGAGAACTGCTCGTGAGAGAACAGCTCTGAAAAAACTTGTAACTGACCCAAGGTCACACCAGCAGCTGCATGTGAAGGAGTGGGGAATCAAACCCGGTTCTCCCAGATTAGAGTCCGTGCTCTTAACCACTACACCAAACATCCACACATTTGCTTTGTATCTCTTAAGGAGCTTGATGTTTTCTTTAAAAAAATCAAAGCTGAGCCTTCAGGAAATAAGCCTGAGGGGAGGTGGACAGTAGGCCATGCATGGAGGGCCAAGGAGGCAAGAGGAGACCTAAGGACTCCGGGAGTCTCTGGCAGTCACTTTGAAGCAGCGTAGAGCATTCCCTGACCGATGTTAAGCTTCCTCTCCCACTTGGGACAACTCTCTATATTTTGAGAGGTGGCAGCCTCTCCTTCTTTGGAGGTTTTCAAGCAGAGGCTAGACGGCCATCTGACAGCCATGCTGATTCTGTGAACTTAGGCAGATCACAAGAAGGGAGGGCAGGAAGGGCTGCATCAATGCGTAGTTCTCGTGGGCCTTTCTTACACGCCCAGGGAAATGCTGACTGCCACTTTGGGGTCAGGAAGCAGCTCTTCTCCAGGCCAGCTTGGCTGGAGATTCTGGGCGGGGCTTTTGTCATCTTCTGGCCATGGAGCAGGGGTCACAGCAGGGGTCACTGGGGGTGGTAGTTGTGAATTTCCAGCATTGTGTAGGGGGTTGGACTAGATGACCCCGGAGGTCCTTTCCAACTCTACGATTCTGTGTGAGTGTCCAACAAGTAGGAGCATCTTTGTCTCTATATGGCTCTCATTTCTTTCACTACTAGGAGCTCTAACTACACATTGGTGCCACTCTTCTAAAACAAACAAGCTGCTCTGTACTTTAACAACTCTGCCTTTCCCTCTCTAAGGAGCTAAGAGGAGCAGACAGTTCATAGCACAAAAGCAGTGCACAGAGGTGGAAGGGATCACGGCCTCCCCTCCCACTGCTTCCCTGTTGCAACCCCCCCCCCTTTCAATCTTTGCAATAGACATCTAGAACTAGGATATAGTAAAAAGCATCTGGGAGAGGAACTGCAAGGAACAACATGCTGGGTGGGAGGGAGGGCCGTCCCTGTGCTAATGACCTCCTCCCGCTACCAATCTGCAAATTGGCAGCCATGGTTTGGGTTGCAATGGGTTGAGGGGGAGTGTACAGGCATACTCTTACACACACTTGCTTGGGAATGTGCCCCACTGAACTCATCTGCCCTACTTTCCAAAGAGATGCTCACTGGACTTAGGGGCAGCTCACCTATTTTGATTCTGAGGCTTTTGGCCTCAGCAGAGAATTCCTCTGCACACAACCTTATGGAGGTGCGTCCCTTTCTTCTCTCTCTCTGCTTGTGTGTGTGTGTATGTGTGTATGTGTGTGTTTCTCAGTAATCTTACATGCTCACTGTCAATTTCCATCATAACCTCAGTTTTGGGATGGAGGGCATTTAGAAAACCATCCCAAAGATATGAGGGACCGAACCGAAATGCTCTTCAGCGCCTTGTTGGCTATTCTGATCTGCTGATGTTCTAGAGGCGTTCAATGAAGACTTTCGTCTGCAGTCAGGTGGGCCGGTTAAATGGCATCCTTCGCTTCTACGCCATGCCAAAACGTATGCTTGATTTGTGAAGCAAATGAAGTATTCAAATTTCTTGGATGAATACACCGTACAGTTGTGCTTTCGCTCTGAGGACCAAATACTTGCTAGCACTTTGAAACTGTGATGGTTTTAACTGTTTATCTTTTTGAAATACTGTGTGTTTTACTATATTATAAATATGTTGTAAGCCACCCTGAGCCCGCGTTGGCGGGGAGGGCAGGATAAAAATCAAAGGAAATAAATACTTCTTACAGCAATGCCATCTTAAGAGCAGCAGACAAACAACCCGGGATCACAGTGTAAAAGAACAGAAACTAAACAATTGCTGCAAATGATAGGCTACTAAGCTTTATAATGAAGTTACATGACTTATAGTCCTTGCGTGTTAGCTAGATAAACAAAGACAACGCACAATTAATGTGATCCTGTAACGTAAATTAAGAAAAGTCCCAGCCTTGTAATACTGCTGAGCAGCATTTGTAATAAATCGATGAGCATTTAGATGTTAGCCCATTTCGTGATGAGATAGGTCTTCCTCTGTGGTTATTTTCCTACAATTAACCATGGAGATTACAACATAGAAGGCCAGCTGAATGGAATTTAAATATTCTCCAGGAACAAAAAGTAAACTGTTTAGACTTACCCATTACTTATAACTTGGTATTTATACAGGAAGCAGGCCAGTCCTTTAATCTTTTCATAGTATGGCGCAAAGCCTTCTGTTCTAACATTAGCCAACAGAATGGTCTCTAAGCACACTGCTAACAGTGCCTTTCTTAAAACAAACCCCCATAATTTCTTGCAGCTGCGTGTGAAACTGTCATTTAATTAAAGGTACAGATCACAATTGTGAACTTTATTATTAATAGCCAACTGATAGAAGATCCAGTTAATAGAATGTCACCCATATATACTTGTTCAATAGATTACTAATGATATCATTAACAGAAGAAAAATCCACAATGCTGACCGATCATCACCATGCAGTCAGGGCAGGCCCCAGCTTATTTTGCACCCTAGGCGAGGATCCCTTCTGGTGCCCCCCCCCCCCCGCGCCCCCCCCATGGTACCCGTTAATTGGATCTGTACCCTGGACCTCCCGTTCCCCTGGCACCCATGCTCTTAACACTCACTTTTGCTTTTGTAACTTTGCTTGCTTTGCACATCTGGCTTCCACCAAGGAAGACTCTGCAAAGAAAGGCACTCACAGTCGCAAACAACCTCTGCTTCTCACTTGTCTTGACAGTTCCTTGCTGGGGTTGCCATAAGTCAGTTGCAATTTGAGTGTCCTTATGTAATAGCCCCCCTACTTAGGTTCTTCTTTGACTTAGCTGAGTGACCCTTCTGTGCCCAGAGGGCTAAGTTCTTTGGTGGAATTGGCGTTTGTATCATCAGAAAGATCATAACATGTTTAAAACTCAGTAGTGTTGGCAGCTGAACCAGGACAGCGGGGTGGTGGTGGTGGTGGTGGTGCCAGTTTGGCGCCCCAAGGGCCAGCGCGCTCTAGGCGAGTGCCTAGTTCGCCTAGTTTGCGAGCCGGCCCTGCATGCAGTATTGTTACATTAGAAATAGTCTTCTGTTGGAACAGAAGGCTTCGCACCATATTATGAAAAGACGAAAGGACTGGCCTTGCTTCCCATATAAATGCAGAGTTACAAATAGTAGGTTAAGTCTAAAAAGTTTAGTTTTTGTTCCTGCAGACTATTTAAATTCCATTCAGCTGCGTGGTGGCCTTCATGTTGTAATCTTCATGGTTAATTCTAAATAACCACAGAGGAATACCGACTGAGAATACCTACTGAGGACGATTCATCACAAAAACAGGCTAACATCTGGATGCTTTCTGGATTCGTTACAGAAATTGCTCAGCAGCATTACCAGGCTGGGACGTTCCTTAATTTACATTACAGGATCATGTTAATTGTGCGTTATCTTTGTTATCTACTTGACATGCAAGGACTGTATGTCATGCAGGGCTATATTTGGACAGGAACACACAGGAACGGAGTTCTGGCTGACTTCAGAGTTGGCCACGCCCACTACAGCCAAAACCTCTGCATGCATGGCTACAGAGGGAAGGCCTGGAGAGGTGGGCGGGCCAGGGGGCCCCCTGGAAGGATCATGGAGGCATTTAAATACCTCCCTGTACCTTCCCTGGCCTGTCCAAGGGTCGGCTGCCCCGGCCCCCCCCAGCCGCAGGGTGCCCAGGCAAGCTAAAGGAAGGCAGTTTAAACGGCCTTCCTTTCCCTTCAAGGGGGGGCTTGCCCGGGCTCCCCGCAGCTGTGGGGTGCCCAGGCAAGCCAAGGGAAGGCAAGGGGTGTGGCCTGATATGCTAATGAGCTGCACTGTCAGGGTGTGGCCTATTATGCTAATGGGTTTCTGCTGTTGGGTGTGGCCTATTATGCTAATGAGTTCCCGTTGGGCTTTTTCTACAAAAAAGCCCTGATCATGTAACTTCATTATAAAGCTTAGTCGCCATCATCCATGGTGATTGTGTCGTTTCTGATCTCAAGCATAGCGGCACCCTTCTAACCCACTGAAGTCAACGGGCATAGAGGTTTCTTAGCTCCGCTTAGGACGGCGCTTCACGTCCCTGACTCAAGCCATAAGACGTCCTGACTTCTACATTCTAAGAACATATAGCACAGGGGGCCCCCCACAGGGTGCCCTCCGACACCTCTTATGGTGCCCTTCAAACATTTTTAGAAAGTGGGTGGGGCCATGTGGGGCTTTTGCCCAGCAAGGCTTCTCATTGGCTACGAGAGATTTGATCGGGTGCGCAGATTCTCGAAAACACTGCTGTGGCGGCAGCTGCCACGGCAGCACGAGGATCTGCACCGTGTGACTGAAGGCAAGCTGCAGCAATCATTTTGTGGTTGTCTCCTCCTCCAGTGGCATCTATTCCGTGGCTGCGCCCACCATCTATATATCTAATAGCCAAGGCGCCCCCTGTGTGCGGATATCTAAATCCGCACATCGGGGGCACCTAGGGCGCAAAGAGGTTTTCCTGCACATTTGGGGCAATCCTTACGTGTGCAGAAAAATCTGTACAGGGGGTATTTAAACCCCCCCAAAAGTGTGCAGAGAACGCTCTGGGAACTCTGTGGCGGGCCCAGCGCCTGGGAGGCTCCCAGGCCTTGCCACCGGGGCCCAGGGGGGTGGAGAAGGCTTACCTGTGGAGCTGCTTCTGCAGGCCGGGAGCCTTTAGGAATACTCCCCCCCCCGCGAGTATTGCGGGTTCCGCTTCTTGTACTACATCAGAATTCCAAAGGTGCCTGCAGGCTTAAAAAGGTGGGGGACCCTGATACAATAGTATCAGCAAAAGGGGGTGGGGGGAATGCTTTCCTCTCTCTGTTTTCATGAAACTAGGGGGGGTAGGTGGCCTGCAGTCGATTAATTCAGGTAGAGGTATCCCAACAGTTCACTTTGGTGCGCAGCTCAAAACCACAGGACGGTTTGTTATATAAACATCAAAGTTATTAACAGCTTTCTTCCACAACAGACTACTTTCCTTTCATCCTGTGCAAAAGGAACGGCATGTTATTTCTTTCGCCAGTTCGGTTGACAGGCTGCGGTCACACACACACTAAATAATCCACTTTCAGTCCCCTTGCAGGGCACTTTCCAACTGGAGTTTACTGTGTGAACTGGCAAAATCCAGTTGGAAAGTGCAATGCAAGTGGATTATTTAGCACATGTGACCGCAGCCATAGAGTCATGCTTCCTTCAATTTGTAGAACACAAATACCTCTACTAGGAGCTGCGGTGGCTCAAGTGGTTAAGACGCTGAACTGCAGGCTGTGGAAAGTCAGTAGTTCAGCAGTTCAAGACCCGAGTTGCCGCATGACGGAGTGAGCTCCCGTCTCTAGTTCCAGCTCCTGCCAACCTAGCAGTTCGAAAGCAAGAAATTGCAAGTAGATAAATAGGTACCACTTCGGTGGGAAGGTAACAGTGTTCTGTGCGCCTTGGTGTTTAGTCATGCCGGCCACATGACCATGGAAACGTCTTTGGACAGCGCTGGCTCTTCGGCTTTGAAACGGAGATGAGCACCGCAACCCTAGAGTCGGACTCGACTGGCTTTCGAGTAAGGGAACCTTTACCTTTACCTTAATACCTCTACATCCTAGGCTATGGATACACCAGGAATCTTTAGGTATGTTTGAGATGCAGGGCAGGAACGGCATGAAACAAAATCCGCACCAAAATGTCCGGGCAGCCCTTTATGTCCTTTGCTCTTTAAAAAAACTTGAAAGGTGAACCACCAGGTCCTCTCACTTTATGCACAATAGAGACACAAGCGTCAAGCAGATCAGCAGTAGAGACTTGCCACTTACTCAGAGTAAACAGGATCAGTAGGGATCCCAGGATTCACACTGAGATTGGGCATGGAGCCCAATACGTTCTGTTTTGCTGGAGACAGGCTGGAATGTCTAGAATGGAACACAAGCAGTGTTAGCTTCCATTTTTAAAAAATGCAAAATCTACCTGTGGAGGCGTTTGCACCTGCCAGCGCTACATGATCAAACACACCTAACACATCTTGGCCAGAAGATCTACTGGTGGCCCTATGCTTGGTCCTTGCAGGCTGTGTATTCAGAAAGAGACTGGGACACACACACACTGTCACAGTTCTGCATGGCCTTGGTCACAACCAGCCATTGTCTGACCAGTCTCCCATAGAGCCCAGCAGGTTTTTCATAACAGCACCTGGAACCCAAATGCCTAAAGGAAATGTAAACACCAGATGACAACAGTGGAGGAATCCCGCCTCCTAGTTGTTGTCCCATTATAACATTTAGACGACAAGGTCTTCGGGGCAAAGAACTATTTTTGCCAGGCAGGTGCTGCGAAGACTACCTTTATTTTGTACTGTCCCAAAGGAATACCGTGTTATCTCTTCCACCAGTTCAGTTAACAGAGTCATGCTTACTTGTAATTTGTAGGAAACTTCCTAGTACCTCTAAATGATAAACTATGGATACAGCAGGACTCTCGACGTGCGTTTGAGAAGTAGGGCAGGTCTTGCGTAAAACAATCTACACCAAAATGTCTGCGCAGCCCTTTTATGTCCTTGTTCCTTAAAAGTTGGAATGTAAATATGGATGCCAGCCTCCAGGTGGGACTTGCTTTAAAAATCTTAACATCGGAACCGGAATAGAGGAGCACCAAAAATGTTTTATGATGTTATTAACTGTTATTGATTGTTACGTAATTTAATATTTTATACTGTTTTATGGTTTTATTTGGCATTATGTCGTTAGCCTTCGGGGAGGGCGGGATAGAAATCTAAATAATAAATAAATAAATTTTAAAATTTAAAAAAACCTGGCAATTTTAGCTGTAATCCTTCCTGGCTGTACAACTAAATTCCTTTGTTTCAAGTTTGAGGTTGTTCCCGTCCTTTGTCGCTGAGTTCCCGCATTTTGTTCAGGCTGGGAGAAATGATGGGGCAATACGTCCTTTTACCTAATATATGTTATCCTCACTCCTACAGAGGACCACTAAGAAATTTTATTGGCAGCCTTTCTGGTACTATATCATACAGAGAAAGTCACGGTGCAGACACAAGCACCCAGCAGGTTAGCAGTAGAGACTTGCCACTTACTCAGAGTAAACAAAAGCAGTAGGGTTTCCAAGACTCATGGAGCTGTGTAAGTTCTGTTCTGGTAGGGCCGGCTCTGAAGGTCTGGAATCGGACACAAGCTGTGTTAGCATGCAAAATCTACCAATGGAGGGTTTTGTGCGGGCCAGCTCATCACTCGCAGACTGGCGACGCCTTGCCCGGTTGAGTGAAGTACCATAAAGTGGGAACACAGCTTTCAGACCACCACAGCTCACCCAATACTTTTCAACCAAGGCAGTTCATATAGCCCACTCCTTTAAACAGTGTGCAGTTTACTTATGGAATTCATTGCTACAAGTTATAGAGAGATGGCCAGTAGCAGAACAATTTCATGGAGGATATGGATGGGACACACAATCACAGTTCTGAGCAACTTCAGACGTAGCCCGACAGAGTCTGCCCAATTTTCTATCTAGTCTAGCATGCTTTTCGTAACAGCATCTGGTACCCGGATGCCTACATGAAATGTAACCGCCAGATGATAACAGTGGAGAAATCCCCCCCCCCTTTTCAGTTGTTTCCCCTTTTCATTTAGACTGCAAGGTCTTTGGGGCAGAGAACTAGCTTTCTGGCATATGCTGCTCAGTGCCATGTGTAGTGACGTACACTTAAAAAAAACACTTCACTTCTGGAAGAAGAGGAAGAAGAAGAAGAAGAAGAAGAAGAGGAAGAAGAGGAGGAGGAGGAGGAAAAGGAAGAGGAGGAAGAAGAAGAAGAGAAAGAAGAGAAAGAGGAAGAATAATTGGATTTATCCCCAGCCCTTCACTTGGAGTCTCAGAGCGGATTACAATCTCCTTCCCTTCCTCTCCCCACAGCAGACACCCTGTGAGGTAGGTGGGGCTAAGAGAGGTCTGAGAGAAGTGCTCTTGAGAGAACAGCTCTGAGAGAACCGTGACTGACCCAAGGTCACCCAGCTGGTTGCATGTGGAGGAGTGGGGACTCAAACCTGGTTCTCCAGCTTAGAGTCCACCACTCAGGGCCGGCTCACCCACTAGGCGAACCAGGCATTCGCCTAGAGCGCCGGGCCCTGGATGGGGTGGCAGGCCCTGGATGGGGGCACCGAACTGTGCCTCCCCCCTGCCACTTCTGACGCCCCCCACCTGGCTGCGTCTGACGCCCCCCCACCTTGCCGCTTCGTGTCTTTCTGTGGACGCCGGTGTGGGCCAGCAGGCCGGGGCTGGCCATGATCTCCGTCGCTCTTTGTAGTCGCTCGCCTCCTCGCCCCCCCCCTCCACAGCCTGATCCTTGGTTGGGTCTCCCGGCCCCGCTGCCGCCCATGCGGGCCTCCCCGATCGGCTCTGCTGGTGGCAGCGGCAAAAGGGCGGCTGGCTCCAGAGGTCTCCAGGCCCCACCGGGAAGTTGGCATCTGCGTCACAAGGCGGCCTCGCCTAGGGCGCAGAAACACCTCGAGCCGGCCCTGCCACCACTCTTAACCACTATACCAAACTGGTATGTTTAAGGCACTGCTTGCAAATGTGGTAAGTGAATTGGAAGCTAGGACTGGTCTTCAGAGCTCACCACACAGCAAGGAAGGGTTCAGAGCAGCATAGGAAATTTTCATTCATCTGAGATGTACAGAGGCAAAATTCAAGTACTCACGTGCCCACGGTTATCCTTATCCGGGTTGGGACGTATTCTTTATTGTTCTTCCTTGGTAACTCTTCTGTGGGAAGAAATACAGCCACTGCTGAAATGCTCCATGCACAAACCGGTCCCAATTTTCCCATGACAAAGGTACCTCAAACAACACCACTATTTCCCCAGAGCATCAAAATGAGATCCCTAAGCTTTCCTGCTTGAACTGCCAGATTACTTGAACTATCTGACTGAACAGTGATCATTGGAGCTTCCAGCAGGGATTTAGCTTGTGATCCAACCAGGTAGGGCACAGCAGATCACCTGACACCCTCTTCTTCCAGATCTGGTCTGAACAACTAAAGGGGCCGCTTCCACACAGCTATATCTTGCCCTGAGGCTCAATGCTTCTGGGAAGCATGTTTTTCCCCCCCCCTGCTTCGTGACAGCATCGCGTTGCATTTGTGCACCTCTGGCAGCTACCCCAGCTCTTCTCCAAACTTTTCTCTATCTTGTTTTGCTGCGAAATTTTGAGAAAGACCACAGGACAGCTTGGATGGCTGCCATATGGACAGGCAAGTTCAGATTTTCCCCACCTCCCCGGCAGCCATTTTCTCTGACGATGGCCATTTCTTCCACTGCCACCAAGGATACTTTTTTGTTTTAAAGCAGCAACTGAACATCAATATGTTGCCATAATGTTATGACAATAAATGTAACATGTTGTCTACATCCCCAGTTTTATTTTTTTTTTAAGTAAGTCTTTAGCCTCTCCTGTAGCGGAGATATAAGGGGAGATATGCCATTCATTGCCCCCCCCCAGTGGTTGGCCATTGTGTCAAACAGAGTGCTGGATTAGACAGACCACCAGTCTGATCCAGAAAGGCTCTTCTTATTCTCCTCTATGGCTCCCTTCATCTCCCTTCTCCAACCCACAACCCCTCACTCTTTCTCATGTCTTTCCTTGGGCTGTCAAAGAACATCAAAGTCTGATCTTGCCCATCAAGGACCGACAAATGAATTCTGCGTTCCTGGGGACAGACAGACATAGCAGATACAGGTGGAATAAAACCTTGCTCTCCCCTTCGGCTCACCGTTAAAGTAGTTCTGGAATGCCTCTCTTTTAGGCCTGTTAGGATACAGCACCTGAAGCTCCTGCAGATCCAGAACACAGTCGGCAAGGGAACGAACAGACAGGCTTGTTGCTGTGAATGGCTGGATGTTCTCTACTTCACAGGAACCTGAAGTGAGCAAAAGAAGAAAGCAACATAGGAGGTGTCGTGGGCAGCAGCTAGCAAGTTTCCCTAATGGCTGCCACCACTCTGGTATGGGTCTCCTCGGGAGGACCCAGAGCACCCACCCTAACCCCCTTTATACGCTCCTTTTCCAACAAATTTCCCCTTATAAGTGACCGAATGAGGAGTGAGGACCCAGGCAGAGTAACAAACTATTTTTTACTAAAGAGATTTAACAGCAACTTTAATTTAATAACGTATAGGAAAAATGAGCACAGTAAAGGTAAAGGTAAAGGTTCCCTTGCCCGAAAGCCAGTCGAATCCGACTCTAGGGTTGCGGTGCTCCTCTCCGTTTCAAAGCCAAAGAGCCAGCGCTGTCCGAAGACATTTCCGTGGTCATGTGGCCGGCATGACTAAACACCAAGGCGCACGGAACGCTGTTACCTTCCCACCGAAGTGGTACCTATTTATCTACTTGCAATTTCTTGCTTTCGAACTGCTAGGTTGGCAGGAGCTGGAACTAGAGACAGGAGCTCACCCCGTCTTGCGGCACCCGGGTCTTGAACTGCTGAACTACTGACCTTCCACAGCCTGCAGTTCAGTGTCTTAACCACTTGAGCCACCGCAGTAAACCAGTAAAATAATAAACCCTAACACGTCTGACTATGCTGTCCCTAGCCTTCTCTAGGTACCTGGTCTCAGACTGACTCATCCCTTTTGGATGAGGGGTCCCTCTTTCTGCAGCAGTCCCACCAGCTCTGCTCCCTGGAAATGAATACCCACCCACCCCACTTTGGACAAGGCCACCCTCTACGCCTCTGCTGGTGTATGTGTTCCCTCCAAATCCCCGGTTAGCCAATCACAGGGTCCAGAGGGTACCTGGGAAATGTAGGCCCTGACAGCTACTCCGATACAGGCTTCCCTGGAGCCACTAGGCCTCCCTAGAGCCTGTAGGCCACACCACTATGGGCCCAGGATCATGACAGGAGGTTACATTGGAAAGCATATGCCCTCTACCCTGAGCATTGTCCTGTTATAGGAATGACCAATATTAATAGCAAGTGACAACCCTTAAACTATGGTTGCTGTTTCAAGGGGGAGAAAAATGCCTCTGCTAGGTGCTGTGGATATAGATTGCCGGCTGAATAAAGGCTGGCTTAAGATTGGCTTGCACAGACAGGCACCTTCCATGTTTATTTGTGTGGCTTCCTGTTGCGGGCTGAGTTAACTCATGAGAGGATCCACCAGCCATTCCTAGACAGCCAGTTCTGTTCCAGGCCTTCACTGGGAGCAGGTCCCACATTCCCTCAGGAGGTTTGCTCAGAGACTGCACAAAACACTGCTGGGTAGTGCGTGTAGCCTTACTAAGGGACCTGCTTTTCCACCACAAAACCCGGAAGTGACTAATCAGTAACTATCTGTAGGATGTGGTACAGTCACCAGCTGTTATGCATCATAGTCTAGGAAGAAAGCTGATGCTAAAAGGCGGGGGATTTCTCCACTGTTATCATCTGGTGGTTACATTTCACATAGGCATTTGGGTCCCAGATGCTGCTATGAAAAGCACAGTAAATTATATGGAAAACTGGTCAGACTCTTGCCAGGCTGTGTCTGAAATTGCTCAGAACTGTGATTGTGTGTGTGTGTGTCCCATCCATATTCTCCATGACTTTGTTTCTCTTCCCCATGCTATTTCCTCCAGCTGGAGATAGCTGGCACTACAGAAAGACGGATTTGTGACTCTGTTCCTCGGCCATCAGCAATCTAGCAGGTTGACGACATACACTATGAATGGGGAAAAGGTGGAACGTGGAGGAGCCATAGTGTAGCCATGTCTGTGAAGGCCAAGTAAAGAGCTGAGGGGAACGTGTGACCCAGTGATGTGCCAGCACTGCTATCTGTGTTCACAGCTGAAGCCTCCAGAAATCTGCATTTCCTCGCCTCATAAGGCAAACTAAACCTTAACACCAATCCTGTTTTCTTAAACTATAGTAGTCCGCAATTCATGTTGCGCTTATAGCATACCGTAGGTAAGGTAGTACTATTTTTAAAAGAACGTTAAGAAGGAAGTATAGATTGCTTTTCTACTGTTTTAGATTTGGTGCAGTATTGGGCTGTCACTGTGTAACTGGTGTAACAGTTCTGCAATATCCTGATGTCAATTTGTCTGTAATGTTGTCAGTGTCTTGAATAGTGTCTTAAGAGAGCCAGTTTGGTGTAGTGGTTAGGAGGGCAGACTCTAATATGGAAGCACTGGGTTTGATTCCCCACTCCTCCACATGCAGCTGCTGGAGTAACCTTGGGTCAATCACAAGTTTTTTCAGAGCTGTTTTCTCATGAGCAGTTCTTGAAAGAGCTCTCTCAACCCCACCTACCTCACAGGGTGTCTGTTGTGGGGAGGGGAGGGGAAAGGAGATTGTAAGCCACTGGAAGTGACCAACCCCCACTTCTTTAAATTTATGGTATGCTAAATTATGGGATCAATTTTTAATTAGAAGAATAATGGACAATCCGTTCTTTTTTTGAGCTCCTGGTACCATGTCTCAGGTAGATCATTTGGAGCTATGGTCACCAGTTTTGACTCCCTTTCCAATAAGGAATTCTTTCCATAGATGATCAACCATTTAACCGTCGATAGACGGCTTTGCATGTATGTTTTCTATTGTTTGATATCAGACCTCTCTGTATGGACTTGGTAATTTTTAATTTTTTATAAATAATTTTAATTTTATATAGAGAGTTTTTTATTTTTTAAGAAAGCAAAGACAGAAAAACAAAAAAATAAACAGATACAGAATAGAAAATAAGTAAAAGAGAGAGAGAGATAGCCACCTCTGTATCAATCAGCTTGGCAGTTTAAACATCAGTCTTTGGCCACATCATAAATTTAAAGTGATAGCCTATCTCTTGATGTGCAATCCAAGTGTTAAAGAATAACACTGGGCGGAGTTCCATGTCAAACACCTATCGCTATTCCCAAATCAAGATAAAAAGGTTGAGATTGCACCTCTGAATATCAAAGCGATATGACTTAACTTCACTCAGATGGGGGGGGGGGTTTCCCTCTAAGCTGAGTTAGTGTGAGCTAGCTCACAGTTTCTTTGCCTCCGGTTCACACATTTGCTCAGGAAGGATGGCTCCAGAGCAAACTACTTTATGCAGTAGCCAAATTGCTCACTCGCAACTTTAATGACAGTAGCTCACAAACTAGAATTTTTGCTCACGAGACTCCACAGCTTAGAGGGAGCACTGTTCTTCTCTTCTTCATGAATCATCTTTTGGATCACCTTCTTGATTGGCTTACACTGGTCGGGGGTCAAGGGTCCAGCTTTCCTATAAAGTTAGCTTTTCCCCTAAGTTTTCCAAGCGTCAGGAGGGGCCGTGGCTCAGTGGCAGAGCATCTGCTTGGCATGCAGAAGGTCCCAGGTTCAATCCTTGGCATCTCCAGTTAAAGGATCTGATAGGAGCTGGTGTGAAAGACCTTAGCCTGAGACCCTGGAGTGCTGCTGCCAGTCTGCATAGACAACACTGACCTTGATGGACCAGTGGTCTGATTCAGTATAAGGCAGCTTCATGAGTCCATATGTGTATTCAGTAATACCATTTGGCAGGGGTCATTTCGTAGAAAAAGAGGTGTAGGAGCTCATTAGCATAACGGAGACGTGCAGATCTGTCCTCGCAGAGGAGGAAGAGCTTGTACCTGAAGGCGGGGGGGGGGAGCGCTGCAATTTATCTGGCTGCTTCTTGCTCCTCGTGGCCTGACTGAGGGCTGCTGGGAGCAGGGGGGGGGGTTGTTGCATGTGCCCGCCCCCTGGGCTCCTCACTGCCGGAGCTCCGCTCCTGTGCGCTCCCGCAGGAAATGACCCCTGCCCATCTTGCTGCATCTCCAACCTGCTGCTTTGTTCCTTATGCCGATTCGAAGATGCTGCAACCCGCCTGATTTCACATATGTGTTTGTACGGAGGAAGATAGATTCTGTTGTTTTATTGCAAGGAGATGGTGGATCGGAAAGCCCTGTCTCTGACATACGAACTGTTTCCAATAAATATATTCAGTCACTTAAAAATAGATTCAGCAACGCGGCCCCTTGTGGACTGTTCCTCCCATTCCTCCCCCACAAAAAAAACCTACCGTTCGGCAAGCGGATGACGTAAGCGATGCTGATGCCACCTATCAAGGAGTCACTGAAACGGAGCAGGAAAGTACCCGCTGGAGCATTGCTCAGGCAACTGGAAACATACTGCCTGCTGACAAAGCCCAAGATGAGCCTGCGTGGGACAGGGAGGAGAGAAAGGAGGGGGGGATCAATAGCACTGAAACCACACGGTTTCATCACATCAGCCTTTGGTCCTGTTATAAATTTAAAGCGATCGCCTGTTTCTTGATGTGCAATCCAAGTGTCAAAGAATAACGCTGGAGGGAGGGGGGGAGTTAAAGTGAAGGGCGGGGTATAAATCCAATCTCTTCTCTTCTTCTTCTTCTTCCATGTCAAACACCTATCCCAAGTTCCCAAGTCAAGATGGAAAGCTTGAATGAATCCACTTACTTTCAGTGGATAAGGGGAAAAGAAACGAGGAAAAGGGAGAAGCCGCATGCCTACGGATATGGTGCTTATGGAAGAGAAGAACCTGAACTTTCAGATCCTTCAGCAGTTGGTGAGTCTCAGGGTGAAACTAGATGCATGCAACCCTCCAGCTCCCAGCCTTTTTCCCAAGCTTAATTATCAATCGGGCAGAGGCCCAATTCAGACAAGAAACATGGTTTCTTGACCAGAAATGGCTCCCGAGAGTCACTATTTGGGGCAACAGAACAAAGTTCGAGTCCAGTGGCACCTTTAAGACCAACAAAGTTTTATTCAAGGTATAAGCTTTTCATTGAGACCCAGTTGTTACGCTCCATCTGTCTCCTCTTATGCTAATTCGCTGCTCACCCTCTATGTGTATGTATGTACTGGTAGCTTCCATTTCAATGTATCTGAAGAAGTGTGCATGCACATGGAAGCTTATACACTGACTAAAACTTTGTTGGTCTTAAAGGTGCCGCTTAAAGGTTGCTTCAGACCAACAAGACTACCTGCCTGGATCTCTTTGGGGCAGCTTATGCATACAAATAGAGGTAAACAGAAGTTTCCCCAGCAGTGCCAACAGTGATTCCACGGGGCCATTTCAGGACAGGAAAATGATGTGGTGGAAAAGGCTTAAACTTCTCTCCCCTTCTGGTCTCACTCCAAATTGGGTCCCTAACCATTAAGTCTAAAAAGCCTGAGAGCCACATGCTTTGCCACGTTCTGTTAAGTTCCACCGTGATTCTTTTCTCCACTTTCTCCACAATCAGGGCTGCGGTTCTGAACAAAGGAACGATGGAGAGGATAAGACTGCTTAACTCTGCTCTGGATCTACTGTCCTCCCCAAATTTCTGTTTCACCTGCAGAGGAAAAGATATAAAGGTTCCTGTCCCTCTCACTCTGCAGGAGAACGAGGAACAAGGGAAGGAGCTATTTTGAGCTGGGAAAAAAAGAGAACAGGAAATAAGCAGCCTCTGGTCCCTTCTAGCAGTGGAAACTGACCGCAGAATCCGAGCCACTGGCTATATCACACACCATCTCGTAATATCGGAAGCACTTCCATCTGTTCCAGCATTTAGCATTTGTTTGTTTTGAGAGCCTAAAGTTTTTATGTGTCCAGAACCCTCTGTTCTAAAGACAGTGTTATCTCCCCCTCTCCTGCTCTTTTCTATATATACGCTGCAAACATATGCTTCTGTTCATAGCTGCTGAATTAGTCATGAATTCCTAACTTGCTGAGCAGCAGATATGGTTATGTACCAAAAAAATGAAAGTATGCTCTTGTCAGAGGAGGAGGTCAGCTAACTGCTTAGCCTGTACACAAGAGCACGAAGGAGGAGGAGGAGGAGGTGATTGGATTTATACCCCGCCCTTCACTCAGAGTCTCAGAGCGGCTTACAAACTCCTTTCCCCTCCCCTCCCTACAACAGACACCCTGTGAGGTAGGTGGGGCTGAGAGAGCTCTTTCAAAAACTGCTCATGAGAGAACAGCTCTGACAGAACTATGGCTTGCCCAAGGTTATCCAGCAGCTGCAAGTGGAGGAGTGGGGAATCAAACCCAGTTCTCCCAGATTAGAGTCCGCGCACTTAACCACTACACCAAACTGGCTCACAAACAAGTCAACATCCACCTACATTTGCATTTTCCTAGAAGCTGAAGAAAGGAGTTTGAATATGCAATAAATGGACAAGAAATGGGGAGGGACCATGGCTCAGTGGTAGAACATGTGCTTTTTACGCACAAGGTTCAGTCCCCAGTATCTCAATTTAAAAGGTGATATAAAAGACCTCTGAAACCCTGGAGAGCCATTGCCACTCAGAGGAGATATACTGACACCGATTGACCGAGGATCTGTTTTAGCATAAGCGAGCTTCACGTGTTCACTCTGTAGTTATACTCACAACTTCCTGTTTGGACCACTGTGTCTTCATTATACGGTAGATGGCTTTTTGTGGCATGTTTATTGGTTTTGAATGACTGGATGGTTGTAAAGAGCCAGTTTGGTGTCGTGGTTAAGTGTGCGGATTCTAATCTGGGAGAACCGGGTTTGATTCCCCACTCCTCCACTTGCACCTGCTGATGTGACCTTGGGTCAGTCACAAGCTCTGGCACAGCTGTCCTTGGAAAAGAGCAGTTTGTGTCAGAGTTCTCTCAGCCTCACCCACCTCACAGGGTGTTTGTTGTGGGGAATCAAATCCAGTTCTCCCAGATTAGAGTTTGTAAGCCGCTCCGAGAGACTCCAAGTGAAGGGCGGGGTATAAATCCAATCCTCCTCCTCCTCCTCATCCTCCTCCTCCCCCTCCTCCTCCCCCCCCCATCCAATGACAGAGGCACTGGATGCTTATATAAGCCAAAAGGCAGGATACAAATATTTTGAACTGAAATTAAAACACAATCACAAACCTTGTTGCATGACCTTTCCCCCAATCACAGATCTTGTGTTCACAACCCAGATTAAAGGAGCTTAATAAACTCTGGCGATGTGATGCTGAAATGAACTGCTTTACAAACAGCATCCGGTACAACTTCACATTCACATCCATCCTCTGTAGAGCTGTGAACCCTACAGAAGGCACACGATAGGGTTGCCAGGTCTGGGTTGGAAAATACCTGGAGACTTTGGGGGGGAGGATCCAGGAGAGGGTGGGGTTTGGGGAGGGGAGGGGCCTCAGCATGGCACAATGCCAGAGAGTCCACCCTTCAAAGCAGCCATTTTCTCCAGGGGAGCTGATCTCTGTCAGCTGGAGATCAGCTGTAAAAGCAGGAGATCCCCAGACCCCACCTGGAGGCTGGCAACCTTAGCACACGACCAACCCGACCTCTAGGCAAGCCTAGGCAATTGCCTAAGGCAACAGCATTAAGCCTGTGGGGAGCACTGCCCACCTGGAGAAAACAACCTGGAGGAAAAAAGTATCCTGCCCTTTCAACAGAGGTTCAATGGGATGTCATCATGCTTTTCTCTCTACTAAATGGGATGGCAGGATGCCAAAGTCACCGTTTGGCTTAGGCACCAAAACCCGTGGGCTAGTCATGGGAAGGCGGCCGCTAGGCCCCTCTCCACTGGGCCTGGACCCGGATCCGTTCATGAAGAATCCTCTTCCAAAATCCACTGGAATAGAGAGGAAAAGGAAGCTCCTTGTCACTGTCAAATGTGCTAGAATGTATTTGTGTGCATTCTGCCAGCCATGTTAGGACACAGAAGGTTCAAAGTTACAAAGGCCTCCTACGGGGACAACAGAAAAATAAGTTCCGAGGATCTATGCCACTCAGCCTATGAACCTGAGCAAATGTTTCCCTTACCGATCGGACCAGTAGTCCTTCAGATATTTCTTGGTGAGTTCAAGGATGCCTTCAAACCACTGCCAGAAGGTGAATCCTCTGTTAGGAAGGATTTCCTGTAAAGGCCAAGGAAAGGGCGTGAGGATAAAAGGACATTCGTAGTCGGAGCCATCCCACCCCCTCTTCAAAACCCCCACTGCCATCACCTTATTGAACTGAGACCAAGAAACGCAGCGGCTCTGGAAGTCCTCGTAGCTGGCGTTGTTGTCATTGAATATCTTCTGGGCCAAGAAGAAGTAGTGCTCCTTGAGGAGGCCTTTCGTGGTCTGCACCTCAGCCATGAACTTCTGGTTGAGAGTCTCACACATGTTCCCCCAGGGGACACGCTCCGTGACCACAAAGGGGATCCGGTCCTGTAACAAGCCAGAGGGATTGAGCCTTGCATTGTGGGCACGGTAAGTGGGCACATCCATCGTCTCTTCCAACCTCTACTCCCCTGTATCTGCCATGCAATGGCAGCAATTAAGCAACCTCTGGCCTGAACAACATGTTTGTGCGTGAGTTGGGTCAGGACACTTCAGCCACAGAGCAAAAAGCACCCCTGGGCCATTTCAGGTCAGAAAAAGATATAGCAGGGAGGTTGAAGCTGCTTTTCCCACACACCATGGTCCCAACACAGATCTGGCCATTTGTCTGTGGAGAATGTCAGTCAAGGGAACCTTGACTCGATTCATGGACAAGTGTCCTGGGCAGTCTGGGCCTAAGCTAAGAACAGAACCCTGAGGTCATACCTCCCAGTACTTCCTTGCCTGACCAATATGCCTAACTCACCTTGTACATCTGGTGAGCAGATGGAAGCCTGGTCTACTTATGCCCCAATACAGCAATTCACAAAACCAAACAAGGACCCACGGTAAGTAGGAAAACGAACATACAACAAATCCTGTGCACAGATGATTATAACATATCATAAATAATTTTATATTTTTTGAAAAATATTATAATAATTTTTTCATACATATTAATTATCTTAATCACAATTCATAATATAAGAGATCAAAATATCAAATATCATCTCCATAGAATCTCAAAAGATATTGTACGACCTTATAATTTATAATAGTCCTCCTCTGTTAAATAAAAGTTTCAAAAGGGAGGACTCCTTAAATTCTCTTTATAACATGTGCTCTGTCTTCCTCCAACAGAGGTCCAGATATCCTTCTGTTTCAGAATCTTCCTCAGGGAGTTCAACAATAATTTTCAGCACAAGGTTGCCAAATAC